AAGTGCTATCAATTATTAATTAATATTGAATTTAGCTTCTGTGCTTTCCAGAAATTATTTTAACTTACCCTCCACTCTGACGTGTCCAGTTTTTGTACATAGCCAACTACAATGGTTTCTATCTATCAGAGCTCTCCACTTACAATGTCAGAAGTTGATGTAATATTTAATGCCTCCGACGTCAAAAGTCTTTCATCTTTCCTGACTACACTGAGCTAGAACTTTATCCCTTCTTTCTGTAGGGTCAGAGAAAAATGTAATTCCATCTATATTCAATTTTACCATGGTTTAAAACATGAGCTATAGCCTAGGAAAACATGTGGTGGTCACTTAGCAAATATCACCATTGTCACACTTCTTTTCCCTAGAATGACATTGATTACTCTTCGATACTGCCTCTCATAAGCTTCTGTTTCTTATTGGTCTTACCTTTCTTCTTTTACTTTTTTTGAATGGAGAGTACAAATAACTTTTTGGTTTTTTTCTGAACCAGTTGTGAGTAGTTTAAAGATTTGATATTCCATCCCCAAATTCCTAAGTGTGCAATTCCTGAAAACAAGGTCATTTTCTAACATAACCACAATATGACCATCAAAATCAGGAAGTTAATACTGGAAAACAAATATCGTCTGTTATAAATTTAATTGTATTTCTCTCAAAATTCACACATTGAAGTTCCAACCCCCAGTACCTCAGAATGTGATTCTATTTGGAGATAAGGCTTTTAAAGAGGATATTAAGATGAAGCCTGTCTAATCCAATCTGATGGGTGTCCTTATGAGAAGAGAAAATTCAGACATGAAAAGAGACACTAAGGGTACAGATGCACAGAGAAATGATTAAGTAAACAAGCAGCAAGAAAGAAGAAATCTGCAAGCCAAAAAGAAAAGCCTCAGGAGATATCAACATTGCCAGCACCTTGATCTTGGAAATCCAGCTTCTAGTGCTATGAAAAAAGTAGTTTTTTAATTGTTTAGGCTACCCAGTCTCTTATTTTGTTATGGAAGTCCTAGCAAGCTAATATATCAATGAATATACAAACCCCATTCAAGTATTTTAAGTTGTCCAATAATAAAGTGTATAGTGAAATATCCAAACAATTGTCAGTTGTATTTAGTCATGTTTCTTTATTCTCAATAAATCTGGAACAGTTGCTCGTTCTTCCATTGACTTTCATGATTGTAACACTTGAAGAATAGACTTGCAGAGCTATTTTATAGAAATACATTCAATTTCTCTTATAATTCCTCATGATTAGATTCAGGTAATACATACTAATTTAGTGACTGAATCCTGTGTTGGACTTTGGCCCAGTGCTTGTGATATAAAGTTGATCATTTGATCAGGGTTTTGTTTACTGTGATTATCTAATTTAAAGTTTGTCCTTTTCCTTTTAAAATTATTTAAGTTTGTTGTTGGTGTGTTAATTTTCATGGGGAAATAGTTTGAGACTAGGTCAGTATCCTGGTTGCTATACTTTGGATGTTTGTACCCTCCAATCTTTACATTGAAATTTAATTCCCACTGCAGAGCTGTTGAAAGATGAGGCTTAATGGGAGGTGTATGGGTCACAGAAGTAGATGCCTTATGAATAGACTAATGTCCTCTCTCAGGGGTAAAAGAGTTCTTGCAAGAGACCTGGTTGTTAAAAGGTGCCTAGCATCTCACTCCTCTCTTTCTTGATTACTCTCTTGCTATGTGGTATGTGCACATGCCAGGTCTCATTTACCTTCTGCCACAAATGGAAATAGCCTGAGGCCCTGACCAGGTGCCCAATCTTGAACTTTTCTAGCCATCAGAATTGTGGGCCAAATAAACCTTTTTTCTTTATAAATTTCCCAGGCTTAGGTATCCTTTACAGCAACACAAAACACTCTGAGACACTGATTCTTATCAAAATTTTAAGCACCATTTTTAGCATCCATGATTATTCTTGCCTGTATCAGGTTCTATGATGTTTACCAGATGGTGCATTTTTAATTCCTTCATTCCTTCTACATATATAATTTTCTTCCATAAAGGAAGATTTATCTTCTCTCTATTTATCCATTCATTGATGTAATTTATATATTTATTTATGTTAATGTTTAAATCATACCAGATTTTAAAAATGGGAGTCTCTTCAAGCTGGCATCTGTGTTCTTTTGACATGTCTTCAACATTCTTTGATGTTTTCGTTTACCACATGACATTCCAGGCTCATCTTTTACTATTCTACTCCTAAAGTTAGTGATTTCCTCAAGAAACCTTGGTTCTTGTTAATGACAATTATATTAATATTTAGAAGCCAAGATCCAGGTGCTAAATGAGCTCGTTTTATTGGGGTGTCACTTCTCCCAGACCCTTTCAGTTTAGGGGACAGAAAATGTGTGTGCGTTTGTGTATGCATGTGTATGTGCGTGTATATAAAACCATGAGTTCACACTGATAACACTAATTCCAATCAATATCAAGGTTTTTTTCTTTCTTTTTATATTTATAGCTTTCCTTTCTAACAGTGAGAAATAAATCTGCTCAATATTTATCAATGTAAATAGACTTAGCTCTTATGCATGTAAAAATCTGTTGATGACAATATCTAGTGTGAACACCCTCTCTGCCTCTGCCCCTTTCTTAGACTCTACCATTCCATGCTTGGCCACTACCACAACCCCGTTTGAATATCCTCTTCCTCTACTCAGGGTAGCAACTCTATTTCACTAACACAAGACTAACTTGATCTTACCCTCAGGTGAATTATTTAGAAAGGAAGAAAGCAAAGAAACATACAAACTATTTTTTAAATTAAACATTTTTTCTAACTACGGAATTAAAGCTGTTCTAGATATCTACCAAAATATGAGTTAAAGTGATTCCAAAATTGCAATAATCTTTCTTCTGTAACTGTTTAATTAGGCAATCTTATCAAATTCTTCTGATGGGAATACAAGCAGGTGTGCATTTGGACAAGCTCTCCCCCTCTTTAGCTTTTTCATTCTGTTTTCCAAGTATTGAAAGTAGTCGTGTTCACCTGATTGAACAAAAACCACCTGGGAGCATACAACTTAAATCTATAAAACTTTTATGTCACATGTATCTTAACAAATAGAAAAAAAGATACTGATGAATTAGTCCTACTCTACAACAATAAAATCATAATCTCTGGTGTAAGGCCCAATCTAAAACAGTCTCTGTTTTTTTGCTTGTTTTTCTGTTTTCTAAAACAGTCTCTGTTTTTTTGCTTGTTTGTTTGTTTTTTGAGACAGAGTCTTACTCTGTTGCCCAGACTGGATGGAGAGCACTGATACAACCTCCATTTGTTTCTATCTTTAGTTAACAATCACTGTAAAATATTCTCCCACTCTTTAAAACTTACTTACCATAAAAATAACATACAGCCTAAACTTACTGTAATAGGCAAATACTAAACTTGCCCTTATACTCTCTACCCTGTGAGGTTCTGGCCTTACATAATCTAATTTCCTGTAATGTGGGTAGCATTCGCTTTTAGCCAATAAAAAATGTCAACTGTGAAGTAATTTTACAGATGTAATACGGGTTCCAAATCAGTTAATTTTGATTCAATCAAAATAAGATTATCTTGGGTGAAAATGTGTCTTAGTCTATTTTCTGATGCTATAACATTGCTAACCACTAGGTAATTTATATAAAATAAAAGCTTATTTCTTACAGTTCTGGAGGTTAGGAAGTCCAAGAACATGGTGCTGGCATCTACTGAGGGTCTTCTTACTGCATCATCAGATAAGAGAAGGTTGAACAGCAAGAGAGACCAAGGCACCAGAGGCCAGACTCTCTTATAACAACCTACTGTCAAGATAACCTCTCCCTGGATGGCAATGTTAATTCATCCATTCGTGAGGGTTCTGCCTCCATGACCCAATTACCTCTTGTTAGGCCCCACCTCCAAAAACTACTGCATTTGGGATTCAGTTTCCAACACATAAACTTTTAGGGGGATACATTCAAACCAATAGAAACATGACTTAATTAGTTAAAATCCCTTAAAAGTGGGACTGGGCACTCCTTAATGAGAAAGACTCTCTCTTCATCACTGGCTTAAAAAAAGTAAGCTCCTCTGTTGTGAGAAGTCCTATGGAGAGGGGAATGTGGCAAGGAGCACAAACAGCTACTGGAAGCTAAGGGTGTCCCCTTGTTGACAACCAACAAGAAATCTGAGATGTCCGTCCTACAACTACAGAGAAACGAATTCTGCCAACAACCTGAGATCTTGAAGATGATCTTTCTCTAGCAGATCCTTTAGATGATGATGCAGCCTGACCAATACCTAAACTGAAGCCTCTGACACCCTAAGCAGAGGACCCCATTAGGTTCCATCCAGATTCCTGACCCACAAAAACTGTGAAGTAGTGAATGTGTGTTGTTGAAAGTTGCTAAATAAATGAGATGATGTATTATGCAGCAATAGAAAACTAATACAATTGCCAACATCATGTTGACTGCTGGGCAATATTCCCATCCTTTAAAGGGGATTTATCTTATTTGGTTATACACATGGAAAAAGTAGAGAATTGGACATAGGGTAGATGATCAGGAAATCTTTTTTATTGATTGGAAATATCGGATAAAAATAATCTATGGTATAATGAATATGTCTGGTCTGTTTTATTTCAGCTTTCCAAAGAATATTCACACTTCCAAGGAGCACTTTTGATGTCACTGTCTTCTTCCTTTGTGCTGAAAGTCAATAGTTTGACATATTTTTTCCAATGGGTCTCTTATAAAATGCATATTTCAGTCCCTCCCACAGAAATAATGTTAAAACCTAACCCCTAATAAAAGGGTATTAGAAGGTAGGGACTTTAGAAGGTAATGAGGCCATGAGGGTGAAGCCTTCATTATGGGATTAGTGTTTTTATATGAAGAGAGAACAGAGGAGAGATTCTCTCAATCAGATAGATAGATAGATAGATAGATAGATAGATAGATAGATAGATAGATAGATAGATAGATAGATATTAATAGATAGATAGAGGAGTCCCGCGGGTTCCGGCACCCGGACCCACACTCGGTCGGGATGCTCTGCTGAGTAACACTGCCGTGGCATTCCAGGAGCTGTGGTCCAGCCTGTGCGGCGGGAAGCGGCGGCGGCGGCCCCAGGGTCCTAAGAGAAGCTGAAACCTATCAACACTCTTCAAAATGCAATGGAATGTACCACGGACTGTATCTCGACTGGCACGCAGGACATGCTTGGAACCACATAATGCTGGTCTTTTTGGACGCTGTCAAAATGTAAAGGGACCTTTACTTTTGTACAATGCTGATTCCAAAGTGGCTTTGGTACAAGGCCTTCAAAAACAATGGTTGAATTTATCTGCTGCCCAGTGCGTTGCAAAGGAAAGGAGGCCGTTGGATGCTCATTCACCCCAACCAGGAGTCCTTCACCATAAGCAAGGGAAGCAACATGTTTCATTCAAGAGGGTTTTTTCATCCAGTGCCACAGCTCAGGGAACTCCAGAAAAAAAGGAAGAGCCTGATCCTTTGCAAGACAAATCTATTAGTCTTTATCAACGATTCAAGAAGACATTTAGACAGTATGGAAAAGTTCTGATTCCAGTGCATCTAATAACTTCTGGTGTTTGGTTTGGAACATTTTATTATGCGGCCTTGAAAGGAGTGAATGTTGTTCCTTTTCTAGAACTCATTGGATTACCTGACAGTGTGGTAAGCATCCTGAAAAACTCCCAGAGTGGAAATGCACTCACAGCATATGCCTTGTTTAAGATTGCAACACCTGCTCGGTACACCGTGACTTTGGAAGGAACATCCTTCACTGTGAAGTATCTGCACAGTCATGGCTACATGTCCTCGCCACCACCCATCAAGGAATATCTACAGGACAGGATGGAGGAGACAAAGGAGCTTATCACAGAGAAGATGGAAGAAACAAAAGACAGACTCACTGAAAAGTTACAAGAAACCAAAGAAAAGGTTTCCTTTAAGAAAAAAGTGGAATAAGGTGCCTTACAGCAGTATAGAAATATAGCAGTATAGAAAATTCCTGCACTTTAACCCTTTGGAAACTATGGGCAAAGATACGTGTGTCTGATTTTTTTTTTTTTTTTTTTTTTGGTTAGTTGTCTAAATATACAAATTCTCTGAGGGTTAAAGAAGTAAAATACCTTTTTAAAGTTAAATATCACTAGAAAAATCAGTGTTATTACAAGGAAAGAAACGAACCCAGTATAAGAATGTCCCATCAGTAGCAGTATTAAGCAGTGGTGAATGTCTTAGAAGTCATACTTCTTTTTCAAGGTCTTCAGAACCACACTTGATTTCTGTTGCAGCTGTAATTGACGCACACTATAGGCAGTTGACTCCTTGAGTAACCAGTGTGACCCATAAAATAGGCTAATACTGGATCTTAATTTTTATGTTATTCATTAAGGTTTTAACTATATTCAGTATGTAATTTGGAGACAAACTAGCATCATCAAAACTGCCTGTGAATAAGAAGGTATTTAGTCTTTCTATAAAAACAGAATAAAGCAGTTACCTACCAGTTAAAATATCTTATATGAAGAAAATAGAATAAAGATTCAGTCATATATATGTAAATACGATGTATTGATTGTATGTAAATGAAAAATGGACCCTTTAAAAATTTTAAAAAAAAATAGATAGATAGATAGTTATAGATGTAGACATACATATAGATATCTCTCACCCGCCCTTAACCCCTCTCTCTGCCGTGTGATGGTACAGCACAAAGTTGTCAATCTGTAAACTAGGAAGAGGACCCTCACCAGAAATCAGGCAGACCAGCCTCTTGATCTTGGACCTTACAACATCCAGAATTGCTAGCAGTAAATTTCTATTGTTTAAGCAAGACAGTCTATGGTATCTTGTTATAACAAGCTGACTAAAATAGGGTCATGTTCTGCCTTGGAACATTGGTGAATAGCTTTTATAAAAATAAATCAGCGAGTGTAAAATATAGCACTGAGAGCATTTTAAATTTTCTAGTATTCTTCTTTAATGAAAAGAACATCAATTGAATTGAGCCCAACTTCATTCCACTCATTCATACTTACTCAGGCCGTCAATACATACATATTCTTCAATCAGACAAACTATGAAAGTTCTTTTTTTCTTTCCTCTAGTGTAATATCTCTCTTACAATGTTTATGAAAACACTTTTATACAAATATTCCTAGGATAAAAAAAAAAAAAAAAGACTTTCTCTTAAGTAAAATTTGGCCTGGAGGGAAAAATAACATACAGTAGGTTAGAGCTGGAGGTAATAAAACTTCTGAGCAAACTTTGAAGCTCCCTGAAAGTACTAGAGCAGCTTTTGATAAGTGCTATCACTGTGTGCAATTGTCTGATTTGGTCTTAAATTTTGTCATTCTTTTTATTCCACATAACTTCACACTTCAACCAAATTTGTTTCCATTTGTTTTATGTCCTCTGAGTCTAGTTTTCTAGTTCAAAATGGGCTACATCTTCACTATAATTTCTAACTACTATCCTGTTTAAAAATAAGTTCATGTTCTACCTTCTCTATAAGAAAGGCTAATGCTCCTTTGAATTATCAATATATAATACAGCAAACTACCTTTCTGGTAAAGGGAAGGAGGAAAGGAGGAGATTGTGGACAATGAGTCACTCAAGGGAGCTTACTATAAGATTTTTGTTTATTTTTTAATATTTTCTTTTTAAAAAAAATTTCAACTTTTATATTAGATTCAGGCAGTACATGTGCACCTTTGTTACGTGGGTATATTGTGTGAAGGGTGAGAATGTATTTAGTTCAGATACTGTAAATTTTTTTTCATTATTGAATACTTTATCTTTTTACAGCAGTTTTGGGTTCACAGCAAAATTAAGAGGAAGGTAGAGAGGTTTAACATATACACCTTACCCCTATACATGTGAATCCTCCTCCATCATCAACATTCTCCACCATAGTGGTACACTGATTATAACTGATGATCTTGCATTGACACATCATAATCACCCAAAGTGTTTAATTTACATTAGGGTTTGCTCTTGGTGTTATACATTCTATATGTTTAGAAACATGTGTAATGACATGTATTTATATAGTACCATACTGAGTATTTTCACTCCCTAAAAATCTTCTATGCTTCACCTATTCATCCCCTCTCTCTCTTAATGCTTGGAAACCTCTAATCATTTGTAGTATGCTATAAATTATATTTTATGGCTATAAGATTAAAGATGGCCATAAGGCCCACTCAAACATCTCTCAGAACCCATGCTATGTGACACTTAGCAATACGATATAACATGGCCTGGAGACTTTTAATCCTGGCCCAGGGATTACTAGGTATTTATAATGACAGCACTTAAAAACACTGCTGTCCTGGAGACAAGGCCACCTCAGCACAGATGCAACTTTTGTGAACCTAAAAACAAAGCTTACTCTTATAAGAATACCTTAAACTCCCTTTATGAAGCAAACACCTGTTAATAGACTGGACTGAATGTAAGCATAAGAAAGGGGGAAGAATTCCCTAAACTCTGAGAATGGTCTCCAGATGGAGCCCCTCCCAGTCAAGCACTCTTCCAATCCCTGACTGGATATGTCCCAGCCTATGAGCCAGCTCTCACTGTCCATCTTGTAAGAGTACTCCCAGAATAAACATCAGATTCATCTTCAGTGTGAATTGGACTGAAGGAACATATCACCCCTGGGAGAGCTGGTTAACAGGGGCCACCCAAGACCCTAAACATGACATCTTTTTGCTATCACCATGGTTTTGCCTCTTTAAGAATGTAATGTTGTTGAAGTCATACAGCATGTAGCTTTTTTTAGTTTATATTCTTTCACTTGGTAATACTTATTTAATGTTTCTCCATGTTTCATGGCTTAAAAGTTCATTTCCTTTTAGAACTGAATAACATTCCCTTGTCTAGATATGCTACAGTTTATTAACCCAATCACCTATTGAAGGACATCTTGGGATTCTAGGCTGAGGTAACCACATTAGAAAATATAAATAAAGTTGCTATAAATATCCATGTATAGGATTTTGTGTGGACATAATTTGTATTGCTAGGTTTTATGGTACAGTATGTTTAGTATTATAATAGACCATGAAATTCTCTTCGAAATCTGCTCTACAATTTTCATTCCTATAAGCAATTAATGAGAGTTCTTGCTATTCCACATTCTTGTCAGCACTTGGTGTTGTCAGTGTTTTAGATTTTGGCCATTCTAGTAGGTGCATAGTGGTATCTTATGGTTGTTTTGATCTGCATTTCCATGATGACATATGTATTAGTCAGGGTTCTCTAGAGAGACAGAACTAATGGAATAGATTATATATGTATGTATGTGTGTGTGTGTGTGTGTGTGTGTATATATATATAAAGGGGAGTTTATTATTAACTCACATGATCACAAGATCCCAAAATAGGCCATCTGCAGGCTGAGGAGCAAGGAGAGCCAGGAGCCAGTCCTAGTTCCAAAACTGAAGAACTTGGAGTCTGATGTTCAAGGGCGGAAGCATCCAGCACAAGAGAAAGATGTAGGCTGGGAGGCTAGGACAGTTTCTCTTTTCACATTTTTCTGCCTGCTTATATTCTAGCCATGCTGGCAGCTGATTAGATTGTGTCCACCCAGGTTAAGGGTGGGTCTGTCTTTTCCCATCCACTGAATCAAATGTTAATCTCCTTTGGCAATACCCTCACAGACACACCTAGGGTCAAATCCTTCAATCCAATCAAGTTGACACTCAGTATTAACTATCACAAGTCCACCCCTTGTCAACTTGAACCCATACACATCTCCTGAGATCATACATCATCTTCAAATAAAGAAAATAATAAGGTCATAATTACACCGAACATAATACAACTATGCTTTGTATAACCAGAAACGCACCAATCCCCAACCCAAATACTATTACATAAAGTTAACAATACTTAAATGCTGATGTGAAATCAATAAATCTTATGTAATATGGTAAAGGAGAAAGGAAATAAAATGAAGATATTTTCTTAGTACAAGCATATACACACACAAACAAGTTTTTAACAAAAGAAGGAGGAAATACTCATGACAATTACAGTCCTTGTTTCTGCAGCTGGTCATGTGGTCGTAGCTGGTATAGATGATTACCCTCTTCTACTACCCATTCTATATTCCCTTTGCCTTCAGCAAGCATCTCAGCAGGTCATGGTTCTTTTCCTGGTTGAGTGATCCAAACCTTCATTCCTGAAGGGTCTGGGTTATTTGTGGTCCTGCCTGAATTAGGCTGTTGTAATTTCCCATTGACCTTAATCACAGGCCATGGTAATACTAAGAGACACCCTAATGGATCTCCTGTATTCCACACATACTCTTTCTTACCACCATTTTGTAGTAGTAGACTGATTTCATCTTGATAGTCTGGGTAAATCACCCTAGCCAACACTGTAACTCCCTTCTTGGCCTGTTGACTTAAAGGTGGGAGGAGCCCAAAGTGTCCAGGTGACAATCTTAACTCCCAGTTTAATGGAGTCATTGTTGTGTCTGCTTAGTTCCTCCCTCTAGAACTAGGACCTCTAGGCCAGCAGAATGTAATGTCATGAGAACAAGAAGCAAAAATTTTGCTAGTGAAGTTGATGGTGGCACCATTCACAATCATTATGGGAGATGCAATACTGTTTTTAATTTACCATCTTTCTAGGTATAGGCAGCTCTAATGGCTTCCATTTGGGCTTACCCACCATAGTAGCCCTCACCATACCAGTCAGGGAGCCAATGTGGGGGTTCTGCCAGCTGCTAAATATGTCTATGCCAATTATGCATTCCGGCACTGGGGAAATGGCCACAGGATGAGTCCAGGGACTCATTGTAAGTGAGACCTAAGCTAAAACTCCATTAAATACTTGACCTCCATAAGCTCTACTTTAACTGGAGGACCACAGTGATGTTTTGGGTTTCCTGGTATCAACGTCAGGTCAGAGTCAGTGTCCAGTAGTCCCCAAAATGTCTAATCATTTCCCTTTCCCCAAAGCACAGTTACTGTGGTAAAAGGCCAGAAGTCTCCTTGGGGAAGGATGGCAGAAAGATTTACAGCATACTTGTTGCTAATGTAGTGGGGTCCTTCCTCAAGAAGACCCAGCCTTCCCTTCATTCAAGGGGTTCTGGGTCTGTAAACTGGCTCAAGTCTGAGAATTGATTGAGGGGCCATGATTCTTTGTTTCTGTAATTCAAATTATTCTTTTGTTCATTTGAACTAGAAGATTTCTGCTTATATAAATCAAGGGGAATGCAGTAGGCATCTTATCAATTTCACTTCTAGGAATTGTTTAATTAGTTAATGTCAGAGCTCTACACAAATCAGACTATTCTGATTGCCACTTTCTGTCTGCCATCCATTACGGTAGCTACATGCACCTTGCCTTTGACTGTTGAGTGCTGCCACTTGGCCCCTGCTACCTCGGGATCCAATTATTCTCACTGTACTTAAATTTAGTAGTTGAGTGACTGTGGTTCCCACTGTTAGCTCTGACATACAGAGAAGAGCAATTGCAGGTTTCTTCAGAGATGCAGGTGCTGCCCTCACAAATCTATTTTGGAAGACATTGGTCAAGGGTATATCTTCTGGACCCTCCCAGCTTAGATAAGTAGGTCTAAATGACTC